TTCTAAGGAAATCAACGCCAAAAATTGAACCTAAGGGATCAAAGACAATAACTGTTGAAAGGCGATTCCAGACAGCGATAAATTGAATCAAGATTGGCCACACTAGATTAACAGATACATGGATCCTTGAAAAAAAGACTCCTCCAAGGTGCGAAATATGTGGAACACAGCTCACAATTTTCCATATAATCATAGAGTGCAAAAAATACAACCAACCCAGATCAGAATTCAATATCCCAGCAAATATGCAGGAAATTTTTTTAAATCGGGAGAATATAAATAATTTAATAGGATATATTACAAAAATTGAACAAATTAACAAAATTTAAATTTAACACTATTAAATCGAAAGAATGAATAAGGGAAAGAATGAAGAAATGAAATAAAAGAAGATACAGGCGTGAAGATAGCCAGAATGTGCTGAAACGCCGTTAAAAATGCATCTCAACAACAATTTAAAATAATGTACATATTAAGAATATTGTATATATATTATGTATATATATTTGGTAGAGTTTTCAGTTTACAGAATAAAATTTTTTTGATTTGTGTCTACGTCTCAACCTTGCCGCTAAGAATCCGCTACAGTAGTTATAAGTAATGATGGCCAAGCTGCCAACTTATTTAGTTAATATTTTAGCAGTGCCTATAACAGGTCTTAAATGTTTTTTCAGGTGTTTTGGTGAAGTGCAACATTTAACACATCATTGACACTTAATAGGTTTAGCCTTATATAAAAATAATATCTTCTTATTAGGTCTCCTATTATTATTTTATGACTTCGATTTAAAAAAATATTTTAACTTGAAAATATAATATCAATATGCTTGTGGTATATCATTGAAAGCTCTATTTATATAGTTTATGATGATTGAAATATTGAAAACTATAAAGTTATTTTCTGTTATTATGCAACATAATATGCAATTTGACTGCGGTTATGGTGTAGTAAGAGTGCCGGTCAATGATGTTTGCGTCATCAGGTTCAAAACAAGGCTGCATCAATCAATCAATCAATCTTCGTTTAGCGTCCAGAGACCCAGACTGAGGTAGGACGTTGTTTTCTTTGCCATCAAGACTGTTTCCTTTTCAAGCATTCCAATCTTCTAATTAGTTTTTCATTTTCATAATTCAAAATCGTGAATTAAATTTCCAAGAATGATTTCTATGTTTTTTTATTTTTCCTAGGTTTAGATGTCAGTCCATCATCTTTCTATTCATAGATTATGAATAAAGTGTTATAATAAAGTTGATTAGAGTAAAGTTAGTTCTAGCCAAGAGTTTAAGTAATAAGTTTATTACTTAAACTCATATATATATCGATAAAAACAAATAACATAGCAACACGTGAAAATAAAAATGTTTGTGCGTGTGCACTGATACAGAATGTCTTTTGAGCATATAACATGGCTGCAGCATGGTGCCCAGACAAGACATTATGCATGCATGTAGATGTAGTACACAAGTGTATGCATGTATTTGGCCATGTAAATATATTGCGCAGAAAAACAAGTGTAAATGTTTTAATTAAGAAACAAAAGTGTGAAAGTTTTAATGTAAAATTTGATGAAGTGAAGCTGTGTACTTGCATGCAACAGACAAGCTAGAATAATATATCAAACTTGATTGGTATTTAATGAGTAAAAATTTGTCACATAAATAATTAAACATATGATAAACATTACAAATGATCAGCAGTAATGTCATACAGCTAATGTTAAATGAACAAAATATAAATGACCTTGCAGAAAATGCAAACTTCACTCTATGGACATTATTTCACAGAAGAGGCCAAAGCAGTGCGTTGATTACAACCTCACTAGTTGTAGTATGATTTCAGAATTATGTATTACACACGCACGCACACACACAAACGCGCACACACACAAATATATTTGTTGATTACTAAACTAAACTGTCTTTACAGCTATTTATTTAAAGATTTAAAACACCACTTAAATACTTAAATATCATTCAAGTATATAAATACTCTAAATACTTAACAAAACTGCTTGTACATAATACTCATTAAGTACTAAATAATTTGTTTTGGTACTTGACACATATCCTTAAAAACCTTTTTGCCAAGTACTTAGTTTTTGTACTTTGGCACATTTTCGAAGTACTTAAGTCAACATTGACACAAGCATATTTCATGTATATATGAGTGTTTCTGGGTGTGTATGTGTGTGGTTAGATAGTTATACAAATCACCATTAAAAAAGTAATAAATGTCCATTGTAGACGATAATGTAACTTAACTGCTAGAAATGTGACACACAACCTCGTTTTCACCTCGTTTGTTCACAAATATAATATTTGATTTTAAGCAATATTATATCATCTTTTTACATTAGACAACATGCTCATCTCAACCTTCCACTGTTGAGTCTGGTCCAAACAAAATGCAGTTCCAAATCAAACGAATCTTCGGCAGTAACAACAAAGTTATTTGAAATACAAACGAAAATATTTATGATGAAACATTTTTCGTGTCAATCTTAAAAAATTAATTATTTACAAATTTCCATCAAAATTATTGGCAAACATATTGAAAAACTACAAAACAGTTATTGAACATTAACAAAAATGTTTCCCACCATGAAAAAAATTTTGACTGTAACCACAAAACAACTAAAATGTTTCTATCCAAAATTAAGGAAAATAAGCAAATTCTCCAGAAATTATAAGAACGATGCCGATGAAAATGATAGAAAATAAGATATGATAGAAAATAAGAAAATTTAAAAAAATACGTTTAAGGACATGTTACAAAGTTGAGCTCTCAATTAAAAATATATTGATAATATTTATTAAAAAAGAGTGTATCTACAATATGAGCAATGTACCGGAAATAATTTTTGAAAGCACAATTTTTTCTTGTAACCACCAAGCTCATCATGACAATGTGCCTCATTTATTCACCTGCCCCAGTAGTGGATCTTTTGTTATAATTTAGAATCATATGTTATAATTTGATACAATTTGTTATCATTTGATACCATTTGTTTAAAAAATCATGAAATGTTTTTAGACCATCAATGACTTTGACATGTGGAAAGAAAGTTGGATGTTGGAGATGATTGGATGAAAAACTTTACATTTTTTATGTGTTTGGCCAATGGAAATAAAGGAATAGTAAAAATGAAAGAGAGTGAAGAAAGGAAATTATTCAGTCCTGGGATGCCTACAATAATCAATCTTCGTTTAGCATCCAGAGACCCAGGTACCCAGATTCAGACAGAGACTCGGGGATGCCTGCAACCTAGAGATAATATATTGCTGTAACTTTCAAGGCAGGTTCTAAAAAATTTTCAATTGAAGAATTAAAACACCATTTACAAAACTATTTTTAATTATACACAAATTTATAAACAACGTCTATTAAATTAATAATTTCAAAAATTTTCGTTCTCGCATTGTCTAGATTATACCAGTTCATTTCTTTTTAAGGATATTCTAGAAGGTTCTTGTGCAATTTAGAGTATAAAACCGCCCTCTTCTCACTTCTGTTCGTTACAAAAGAGTTTGGTGTACTAGAACAGGGCCATATTTTCCAAATAAACAATCTTCATTTGTGCTTGAGGTTTCCTATGTTCACTAAAACTTTGGAGAGCGTTATTTCCTTTGTTATTCAACTATACTAAGTCATTGATGTTGAATCCAATACCACTTCCTTTCCAGTCATACCAAGTTTTGGTCGCATCTGTGCTGCCTTATTTTAGGCATGTGTTCATGGATTCTGTTCAATCACTAACGAAGGTCATCCACACATTCAGCTATTGGCTGGGGAGTTTCGAACGGTATTTTACATTTAGGATTAAATGGAGTCCTTAGCATTGTTCCAAAAAATATGATGGAATTTTTTTAACAATTTTGTAAACCACACTTGGATACGCCTTGAGAAACAACAGATCCAAAGTGATCCTCTGATGCTTCAATACAATAATGCCTTTGAAAAGCAAGGGCAAGATATCCACTGAAGCTCACACACATCATAACAAGGAGACAAAGTAATGTTATAGCACTTAATTTTTGCCTCCTAAACATTCATTATCATCCTAATTTTCGTCATCATCATCATCATCATTATTCTCTTTTTGAAAGACAACGGTATTTGTTTATTCCAGTTTCTTTCATTTTCGCTGATTGATGCTCTATCAGTCTTTTGAGTAGTAAATTCATGAAAATGGCAATAATGATAATAAATTATTAGAAGTTGCTGAAGCACAAATAGAATGCACAAATGAATTATCAAAATGTCAAAATTGTGTCACATTATCAAATGAAGCAATAGGACCTTTGTTTTTGTGTTGAACAACATGTACAACAGTTGGTAGTAAAAGTTAAAAGGTGAATAATATGTAATACATAACTCTAAAGTTTTCGATACTTTCATTTCTCTCTTTCAAATAATTTAGCTTCTCTTCCTCTACCTGATAACATTTACATTATTATGGATTTTCTTTCTAATAGGAGTACTACAACTTTTTTCAGTTCGCAACTATCCCTAACTTTATCAATTAAGTCTAGAGTAGTTTAAGGATCTCTACTTGGGCCTTCAACTCTCCTCAACAAAACGTTTTCTTAACACATGTAGAACAATGTTTAATTCCCACTTGTATTAGACAAGGCCCATTTTAACTTGTTATACTAACATTTCAATTTGATAATTGGCAATAAAATGTTATGTAACATGCAAATTACTGAATTGACTTTTATAAAATAATTTTGAACGATTTGAAGGATTTTTCAAAAAAATTGAAATCAAATTTTTCATCTGAAAGTAATCAAAACAGAAATCAAATTGATTTTGTACATCGAAGTATCACTATGAAATATGCATCATCACACTCTCACATTGCATCAACTCTTTATTTTCCAGTTGGCTAAAACTTACCTCTATATGCCCAATCAGGAAAAATAATGCTGAATCTTTCAATAACGATTGAAAATAAAACTGGCCAAGATTTAAAAAGTAACAATAAAAACAAACGAACGTTTTAAGAGTTCCCGAGGTCATAAGTTCAGTAACAAGAACAATTATTTTCTTGTTTTTTGATGGGGTCTCCTCAAAGTAGTCGTAAAACCTGACAATGTTAGGGTGCTGGAGAGTTTTTAGCATTTCTGCTTCTTCTTTGAAACGCTGATGCTCACTTTTCTGCCAGGTTCGATCCTGTAATGAAATGTTTTCTAAGATCGTTTTATTACTCAGCAAATTAATTACAATCGCTATTCTAACAAAAAGTAGGGAATATTCCATTGAAGTGGTCAGATATACAAATTCAAAACAATGAAATTATTTTTGAAGATTAAAAGAATTAATAACACAAAGTTATTTATGTCAAATAAATTTATTTGGGTTATGATTTAAAAATTTAAAAAAAAAATTAAAAAACTGTTTAGATAACTCTAAAAAAAACATTTTAATTGTTTTCAAAATTGTTTTCTTTTGCTTTTTCTTTCTGTTTTTGAAGCCATTAAAATAGAGAAAGTCACATCGTTTCAATATCTAGGGGATGTTCTGGATTGTACTGGAACAGCTGAAGCTGCCGTTCGAGCACGCATACGTGCAGCCTGGAATAAATGGCATCTCCTTGCCTCTATATTGATGCCTCCTTGTCCACTACCACTACGATCAAGACTTTATAATTCTGTGATACGTCCGGTGTTGTTATATGGTGCAGAAACATGACCAATGACAACCAAACTGGAACAACAACTTCAACGAACCGACATGAAAATGCTCCGATGGATGCAACGAATTAGTCTGAAGGACCACATCAAATCTACCGAAATCCTGCGTCGTGCTGGTTTAGATAATATAAAGGACAAATGCCGGCAACACCGTCTGCGGTGGTTTGGTCATGTCCTGGTCGCAAACAATCGAGCAAGACATGAAAGCTCTAAATTTAAATGAAATGGATACAACTGATCGTCTAATTTGGCGCAAAAAGTTGATGGCAAAGAAAACAACGTCCTACCTCGGGAAACCGGGTCTCTGGACGCAAAACGAAGATTGACTGATTGATTGCTTTTGAAACAATTTTTCAAACTTTAAATTTCTTTTTTTGTTAGAAAGTTGCTGAACTTTTCTTGAGTAAACCTCTGAATTTGACAGATCTATTCTATGGTACTATAATTTCAAATTGTTCATGACAAATAAAGTCAATTTAATGACATAATTCTTAAAATGCAGCTGCTAATAAGTTCACAATTTATTGCAAAGTCTTAAGCTTAAATTAAAAAAATAATATAAGGAGATGTTTTCGAGTACTTTTTCTCAAGTACAAGTACATACTAACATATATGAAAGTATACATATACAAGTACTGAGAATAAAATTTTTCCAAGTACAAAGACTTACACCTCAAGTACAAGCACTACAGATCAAGTACGAAAGAACAAAGATAACTCTAAACATCAAAACAATTAAATAACTTCTATTTCAAATCAATAAAAAATTCAATCAAGTATGTTGTTACTGGGGCTGTACAGGATTAAACTTTTTCAAATCAGGCCAGAGCCGTAGTCACATGCAAATTAGTGCAAAGCACATTTTGTTATAACCTGTGACTTCATAAGAAGGCTTGCAATTTGTCTCAAATCCAGTATAAAACCTTGTTACATTACATCTCTATCAATAAATGTACTTGAATTAAATAAAATTGAACTGATACCACTTAATCAATTTTCGTATATACTGTTGTAATCTTTAACGCTTGTTATTACAAACACTTCAATGATCTCTATATTTCCAACACCAGTGTTATAGCTTCTAACGATCGTTAAGTTATCATTGTTCTGTAGGCTCATGATTTCCTATAGATGAACAAGACTGCTTCAAATGCAAGCTTGTAATAGGAACACTAATCTAATCCAAGTAACTACAAAAATCACGTCTACGGCTTTGCTTCAAACCACGCTATTCAAACCACGCTTTGCTACTTCTGCCCCTCCTGATTCTGACAATCCAAAGATTACAAATATAGCAAAGATAACAAATAATAAAGATAACAAATAATATACCTTAATTTGAACATCGCTGAGGTTATAAAAATACCATCATATTCAAACATGCACGTGGAAAGGAAACAAGCATACAATAAAAGCATGTTTTAAGACATGTAAAATTATACATGAATGCATCACACATGTTAACATATTTTGAAAAACTATCTTAGTGCTTGGTGTTAATTTCTGAAAATTTAAAAGCAATTAAGACATAATCAAAATAGTCACATTAATCAGTATATACACAAACGATACAATCATTTTGTATATACACAATATGATCATTGATTAACATACACTCACATACATGTTCACACCTGTAAACATAGACGCACATGCGTGTATACAAATATACACAAAAACATCAACACACACATTGAATATTAAAACTTAAATGACAAAATCTGGCTCTAATCTGAAATCTGGCACAATTTCAAATTTGGAACAATGGCAGAAATCTCCAAATAAAATATTAGTCTCCTTAAAATTTTCAACTGTAACTTTTCAAATTTTTGTAAAGCACATTTTACTTATAAATTTTCAAGTATGATAATTGATATGTGTAATTTTGCACAAGTAAATTTCACATTTAATTTTTCCAGTTAATTTTTCTAGTTGCTTCTTTTCTGTCTTTCATAAGAACAAATGTTTATTTAATTTTTAATTGACGTTTTGCAAAACTTTGACAATTTATGTTCCAGGTGGTTGTGCTAGATGAGTTCTTCAATGAACTCTTTCACACCATCCTGCCTTCTTTTTATTATGTTGTATCATAGTGAGGAGGAAATAAAAATACTGTATTGTATTGCATTGTAAGTACAATAATAACAAGTACAAATACAAGTACATAGATGTCAAGTGCAAGTACTTAAAATTGGTACTTGAGTTCAAGTACCATACCAACCACATGTACTCCATCACTGATAATATACAAGACTAAAAACAACAGTTTCAAAGTTCGTTTTGATCGTCAGGAAGGTTCCAGCTCAGTCATCATTAAAGTTCAGGTTCTGTTTGGTTCAGCCATAAGTAACTTTTTAATATTAGTAGCCTAAAAAATTTATCTTTGACTATCTCCTCCAGACACCCGGCCAGAGCTGGATAATATGTCTAGTTAGTGATAAAAGGACAAAAACTGTTGGCATTAAAATTGATTGGCAGGGAAATTCATACATATTTGCAGTTTGCCCCATACACCCTGATTTTTTTTCTTAAGAACTGTAAGCAAGTAATAAACTAACTACTCCTGCTATAACATTAATTACATCCCAGCCAGTATTAATAAGGATGTTACAATTACCTATTCATAGATGATTAATGGGAGATTTTATAAAAGATGCATACAAATAATATAAGAAAAAAGTGGCTATCATCATATTTTACAAAACAATATTGACAATAAACTTTGTGACAAGCACTAATAAGTTGAACTTTAGATTTATTTTATCAGATTACGAGTGAATATATAATAGAACAAAATTATTAACTTTTGAAATTGCCATTATTGCACTCGACTTTAAATCAATATTAACGAATGAAATATTTTTTAAAAAGATATTAAGTGAATTCAGTACCAGAGAATTGATTAAAAACACTCACCTGGAAACCATGTATAAATCATCGGTTTTGATAATCATCATCATAATAATAAATGATGGCCTATAATGATGCAAGTAAGCAATCATATGTGTGTGCGTGTGTTTGGGCATGTATACATATTTATAAGTGATTTCACAATTTATAAACTGTTGCAAATATAAATATATGTATATGAATATCGTTACAAATTTTAGCCTACAAGAACATCACAAGAGAAATATTTTGCATATATAATCTGTATTGTCACTCATTTTTAGTTAACGAAGATTAAATTTGATGTCAAATTTTAATGAAAAAATTAAAAATGTTCTTTAGAACCTTTTTATTTGTTATACTATTAGTTATTTGTAGTTATATAAGAAAAATTTATTAGAAATTTTATTAAAATTTAATACCTGCCATACACCTTCATTGATTTATATTGCTGATATGCCACACCTTGATATGCAACGGATTTTAATGGTTAAAAGTGCCTGGTCATGCTGTTGCATGCAAAGAGATCCCCACCTATCTTATGCAATTTGTGTCATGTATGGTTTTCATGTGTGTTATTCAAACCTCTGAAGCAAGTGCATAAAAGGGATTGATCTTTAACTTCAACCTAGTGTATATGTGAGTACATGGTATATGTATATATATATATATATATATATATATATATATATATATATATATATATGTATCAGTTTTATCAGGCTCGATATCTATTGCTTTTGAGTGGTGAGATGGGTGTCAACCATCTGGCAGATGTTGTGTAATTGGCTTATTACAAATTCACCACCATCTTTGAGAACTTCAGTAGTCATTGCATAATCTATACCAGGTGCTTTGTTACAGTTGAGAATCTTGATTGCAATGTTAAATCCTTTCGTGTTATATTCCCTAGTGGAACACTTGCTATGTCTGTAGTT